TCTCAGCAGCCCATGGAACCTTCTCCAAAATAGATCATATCCTAGGGCACAAAGCAAGCCTCAGCAAATATAAGAAAATAGAAATAATACCGTGCATACTATCTGACCACAATGCAGTAAAGTAGAACTCAACAACAAAAGTAAAGACAAAAAACATGCAAACAGCTGGAAACTAAATAACTCATTACTTAATGAAGAATGGCTCATCGATGCAATAAAAAGAGGAAATTAAAAAGTTCCTAGAAGTCAATGAAAATGAAAACACAACCTAACCGGAACCTATGGGACCAGCTAAGGCAGTCTTGAGGAAAGTTTATAGCCATGAGTGCATATATTAAAAAGATTGAAAATCCAAATCAATGACCTAATGATACATCTCAAACTCCTAGAAAACAAGAACAAGCAAATCCCAAAACAAATAGAAGGAGAGAATATAAAAATAAGAGCTGAAATCAACGAAATAGAAACCAAAAAACCATACAAAGAATTAATGAACAAAGTTGGTTCTTTAAAAATAAACAAGATCGATAGACCCCTGGCAAACCTGACTAAAATGAGGAGAGAAAAAACCCAAATTAGTAGAATCAGGAATGCAAAAGGGAGATAACAACAAAACACCATGGAAAGTCCAGGAAATCATCAGAGACTACTTTGAGAACCATATTCAATAAATTTGAAAATCTAAAGAAATGGACAGATTTCTAGATACATATGATCATCCAAAACTGAACCAAGAGGAAATTAATCACCTGAATAGACCTATAACACAAATGAAATTGAAGCAGCAATCAAGAGTCTCCCCAAAAAGAAAAGTCCAGGACCTGATGGATTCTCTGCTGAATTCTATCAGACCTTTAAAGAAGAACTGATACCAACCTCTTAAACTGTTCCAGAAATAGAAAGGGAAGGAAAACTGCCAAACACATTTTATGAAGCCAGTATTAACTTATCCCAAAACCAGGCAAAGACACCTCCAAAAGGAGAACTATAGGCCAATCTCCTTAATGAACATTGATGGCAAAAATCCTCAACAAAATAATGGCACACCGATTCACAACACATCAAAAAGATTATTCACACGACCAAGTAGGCTTCATCCCAGGGATGCAGGGTGTTTCAACATACGAAATCAATAAACGTAACCACTAACAGAAGCAGAAGACAAAACCACTTGATCATCTCAATAGATGCAGAAAAAGCCTTTGATAAGATCCAACATCATTTCATGATAAAGCTCTAAGAAAACTAGAATAGAAGGAGTTCCTCAACATTATAAAAGCTATATATGACAAACCTACAGCCAGCATTACACTTAACGGAGAAAAATTAAACCATTCCCTCTAAATCAAGGAAACCAGACAAGGATGCCCACTATCTCCACTTCCATTCAACATAGTACTGGAATTCCTAGCCAGAGCAATTAGGCAAGAAGAAGGAATAAAAGGAACAATAGGTAAAGAAACTGTCAAAATATCCTATTGCAGATGACATGATCCTATACCTTAAAGACCCAAAAAACTCTACTCAAAGCTTCTAGGGGGGGGGGGGGGGGGGGGGGGGGGGGGGGGGGGGGGGGGGGGGGGGGGGGGGGGGGGGGGCGGGGTGGGGGGGGGGGGGGGGGGGGGGGGCGTGGGGGGGGGGGGGGGTGGGGGGGGGGGGGGGGGGGGGGGTGGGGGGGGGGTGGGGGGGGGGGGGGGGGGGGGGGGGGGGGGGGGGGGGGGG